CTATTTTATATGTCATTCTCAATGTTACGGATTCTGTTTAGAATAATATATATAATATTAACAGTAATGATTGAAATTGAACTAAATTTCAATATAAAATAAAAAATGGAATAAATATTTTATTACAAAGACTCTATTGCCTCGTATTCGATAATAATTACTGTTTGAATAGTTAATTGCATGATTTTACAAAATTATGAATTGTAAAAGAATAGATTTTATAGAATAATTTCGATAGAATAAATCTTCATAAAATATTTAAAAATTCCTTTCTATTTGCTTTATGATCGGACCAGATATTCATTTATTTAAATTTTATTACTGTAGCGAATTAAAATCTACATTAAAACTCTTTTCATATATCAACAAATATTATTTTCTGTGAGATATTTTAAAAATATATTTTAAAGTTAAGAATATAATATTTATATACATTTTTTATTAAAAATTTTATTAAAATACAGTTTCGAGAGAAAAATAATGAAAGCGTTGTTCAATTGATATCTCGTATTTCATCTATGGTTACGCGCCAAGAGCAAGTATAGACAAGAAGAACAAATAATAGGAAAAGAATGGAGATAAAATAAAAATTCAGGAATCAACACAATATTTAGAATGCCATAAATGAAACACATAAAGAAAGAACAGAAAATAATAAGCAAAGTTAGAAATAAAATAAGAATTGATTATCAATGCCATCTCTTAATTGTCAAACAAATTTCTTTAAAAATGAAAAAGAATAGGAATTAAATATAGCGCCGTGTTTTAAATATTCTATCTTACCCTTTTTTTGAAAAGTTATCTTGTATTTTTTATTGTCCTATCGATTAACAATTCCTATAAATCCCATTTATGTATATATTTATATTTTTATATATAAAATGATTATTATATATTTATTTAACTTATATTATTTTATAAATATATTATTTTATTATATAATTTATATATAAATTTTTTATAAATAAATATAAATATAAATTTTTATATATATATATATAGATTACATGTAAATTAATTATTATTACAATAAATTAAAACTTATATGTAATTAAATGTTTCTTTTTTTCTTTATTATTCATCTCTATATTCCTCATATTCTATATTTCTTTCTTATTTAAATGATTTTTAAATTATAAAATAATACATTTTTTTCTTTCTTAATTTTAACCTAATTATTGATAAAACATATTTTGCCGGTAAGTAAGATATCGATCAAAAAGTTTTCGACGTTAACGCCATCTCGCGTTTGGATTCACGAAGCTCCGACTCGTTACTAGCATAACATGATACGCAAGGAGGTATGCGAAGTCATAGATAAGGAACGCAACATTGTGCGAGAAGGACAGAGAAAATTTAAAAATACGGCACATGGAAGAATCATTAATTACTTGTTTTTTACTGAAAATTTCTGCACTTTTAAGCACGCAACCTGTAGCTAGAACTCCAGGCAACTTTCTCATATCAATCTTAATACGAAATTCTCTTTATTTATTTAATTATTAATAATTAGCGCGTCATATGTTCTAATATGTTCTAATACGTTAAAGACGCCATATTGAAAATTCATTAATTACTCGTTTTCTAATAAAAATTTCTGCACTTTTAAGCATGCATTTTGCAGCTAGAACTCCAGGCAACTTTCTCATATCAATTTTAATACGAAATTGTCTTTATTTATTTAATTATTAATAATTAATGCGTCATACGTTTTAATAAATTAAAGACGCCATATTGAAAATTCATTAATAACTCGTTTTCTACTGAAAATTTCTG